CCACTGAAATAAGAATAGCTTCCTTTGTCCAATTTTCCTTGCCTTTGTGGCTTACCAGTGAAGATGCACCTTGAAACGATTGATTCTTTTTAACTTTGATGGCATTATACACCAACATGCCATCAATCCCATACGGTCTTTCAGGGTCAAAATTTAAAAAGTCTTCCATCCATGCTCTTCCATACATAGAGATACTGTCTATTTAAGATAATGTATGATCACAGGTGCAATAATGAGGAGCATAAGACCTACTTATAATCTAAGATTGGTTTGAAATCAGAGAGACCATGAATTGGCAAAGAAGATAACATTCTATGTACTATAGAAATGAAGCCAATCTTCAAAAGATTCAGAAGACATCACAGAGTGATTCTTATATGTAGTAGGTATAGGATACCATATCTACTGTTAGCATTATCCAAGTATAAAATATGAACAAAATTGGGGTTTTTGGTGAAAGCCACATAAAACCACAAGGTTCAAGAGTAGCTGAAGTTATAGCAGGTTATAGTCCAGTGATGAGAAAAGAGACATACCTACCTTTCTCAGGGTAATTATTTATTCTTTTGAGAGAAGAGGTAAGACTGTTAGCTCAAAAGGTTAAAATTAGATTCTCAGAGATTTGAATTATATAACATGCCACTTTTTATACCTTACAGCTTGCCCTCATGAATAAAGAAGATTTATCAGCAACAAAAGGGTTTCCCAGACATAGTTTAGTAAAGAGGGAGGATCTTATGTCTCCAGTCATGATGTAAAGCAAAGGATAACCAGACTACAACCCACAGCTCCAGAGAAGCTAGCTAAGAAGAAGGACCCTAAGAGAGACACATAGATAGTCCTGCAAAGAAGAAATAGATGATATCTACATGAGCAAACTGATATTAATGGGGGTAACGGAGGGCAAGGAATGGTGAATGAGACCACAGGGGAATGGAATGGTCAAGCTGAAACAGAGACAGAATGGGAGAGCAAGGAAAGAGATACTATGATAAATGAAGACATCATGGGAATATGCAGAAACAGGGTGCTAGGAAAGTTCTCAGGAACCCACAAAGATGATCTCACCTTAGAGTACTGGCAATAGTCAAGAGGGTGCCTGAGCTAGTCTACTCAGTGATTGGATGGTTGAATACTCTAACAATCATTAAAGAACCTTCATCCAGTGACTCATGGAAGCAGATGAACAGATCCAAAGCCAGGTGCCAGGCCAATTTCCAGGTGTCCAATTGATGAGAGAGACAAGGAATTCTATGACCATGATGGAAAAATGTACAGAGACAACTAGCCAAAGTAGTGGAAATGCATGAACTGTGGACCAATAGCTGAGGAGACCCCATGGTACTGGACTAGGCCCTCTTGAAAGGTGAGAAAGTTGTTTAGTTTGAATTGTTTAGAGGGAACCCAGGCAGTAAGATCAGGACCTGTCCCTAGTGCATTAGCCAGCTTTTTGGTGCCCAGTTACTATGGTGACACACTTTGAGAATCCTTGGTACAAAGAGGAGGGGCTTGGACCTACTTCAACTGAATGTACCAGCCTCTGCTGACTCCCCATAGGAGACCTTGCCTTGGAGGAGGTAGGAATGGGGATGGGTTGGGTTGAAGGCTGGGAGGTGGGAGAAGGGAGGACAGGGAAATCTGTGGTTGGTATGTAAAATGAATAGAAATTTTCTCAATAAAAAAAGTCTTAGTGCCATTACATTATCTGGCATCTCTGGAAAATTCCCTTACAGGGCAATACTTCAATATGATGTGCCAAATGAATAACTGATGGGGAAAGGAAGATGCACAGAACTTCAAATTATATATACATATACATATATATGTATATATATACATATATATATAAAATGAAGCTATGATATAAGATAAACAACTGATTGCTGATTTTGCTACTTAATTACATTTCTACCAGACACATGAAAATATCACTTTCAATACACACATAAAGTATTTAATGTTTCTTATATTCTTTTCTATTAAGCATTTTAAAATTAACATTGTGTTGACAAAACAGCACACATTGGGAGTAGATTATCTACTCTTGGACTTGTACACTGGAGGTAGACACATGAGGATCATGAGTTCAAATGTATCCTTCAATCATTACTGAAATCTATGCCAGGCTTAATATAAACAACAATATCTCAAGGGAACTTGTGAAAACATGAAATCAAAACCAAAACCCAACCCACTACCCTTTTCACAGAACATCTTACTTGGAAAGTATGATCAGACACTGCCTGACATTTAAATAAACAATAGACTAGTAAGATGATGGATTTTCCATTTTATGTATTATAGTAGAAAAATACATATCACTAAGTAAAAACACAATGGAAAATGAACAAAAGCCACAGAACTAATATAAAGACCACAAAAGTAAATTTAACTAAAATGAATTTGCCACACATATAGCACACTTTGGTATCTTCCTCAAATGTTTCAAAATAGAAACAAAAATGCATTGATCTCCCCCATCAGTCTTGATGAAACATAGCAACTAATTTACTTCCTTCCAGGCTATGATGAAAAGAAAATGAAGTAAGATCTTTTTCTTTAAAATGAAGACAACTGTGATGTCTAAAATCTGTACCAAATTGTTTACATGAATAAAATTTTTCTTGTGCATGAGTTTATCCCTACTTCCTAATTTTAACATGATATAAATAGGCTTTAAAATATTTTCATGGCTAGAAACATGGTTGAGCAGTTAAGGAAAGTTCATTCCCAGAAATAAGACTTGATTTTGACAACTTCTTTTAGTCCTTGCTACAAGGTTCAAGAGCCTAACATTTTCATAAACTACCATGCAAATTCACATACCCTCAAAACATATTCTGACATCACATTATTAAAATGTAAAAAAACTCTTTAAAAACATTTTTTCACTAATGAAACTTTTTCATTTGTGAGCATGCATTCCTATAACACAGGTATTGAGACATTTAAAGGTTTACAGAGATTTTCTTCATTGTGAATTGGTTCATGTAACAGAAAGCAAGCATGTGTGCTTGAAGTCAGAGAAATCCCTTTCAGTTGTGAAAGGTTTTCAGTTTGTGAAGGTTTAGGAAATGCTGTTCTGCTAAGGAAATATGTCACTGGGGGTACGCTTTGATCAATTACATCCACACATCATTATCAGTTCCCACTCACTGCTTCATACTGCCAGCTAAGTATGTGAGCTCTCAATTTAGCTGCCATGTCTGACACTTGATGCCATGCCACTTACATGTTGATCCTGGGGCCAAATAAAACTCATTAAGTTAACATACACATTACATAACAAGAACAGAAAAGGAACTAATACAAATCCATAAAGTTTTACACCTGAATCAGTTATTTCATGTAATTAAAGAGGAGTTTAAAATCTAAAAATACTACATTATTATTTAAATTCATAGTGGAAGTGTTTAGCTCTGAAAGGAAAAGTTCCCTGAGTATCAAAAGTTAGGCTATGCCTATAATTGGGAGTGGAAGGTATCCTGGATATACACAATTGAGAGGGGAAAGATATCCTGGCTGTTGGTTGTCAGGCTCTACCTGAAGCTGTGCAGGAAAGGTTTACAGGATACCTACAGCTCTCAAAAAATAGAAAAGCAGTGAAAGGAAACTAGATACCTAAAGCTGTGAGGAGATAGGAATACTGGCTGTTAGAAAGTCAGACTAGTCCTGAACGTTTGTCCCAGTGTGGGATGGTTTACCTGAAGGATGTGGCAAACCTGCTCCTCTCCAAAAAAGAGCCATTACAGCTTAGCTATGCTACACTCAGCTAAGAGAGATTTCCAGCAGAGATGTCCTTTGCCACTCAGCTACACTCCCCGAAGAGAATTTTACAGCAGAAGTGTCCATTATTTCTCTGTTCCACTCCACTAGTGAGTTTCCCAGCAGAGATGTCAATTGCTTCTCTGCTCGACCCCACTAGGGAGTTTCCCAGCAGAGATTCTGCTCTGCTCTGGCAAAAGATCTTCATCCAAATCTAACTCAAGAGATTTATGTAGGAGAGAGGAATCCAGAATAGTGCTTGCCTGTGTCAGTGTGAAACAGGGCAAGCTGCCAGCTGAACAGACACATGACTTATATGGGGCTTCATAGTGGTGGGGATTTCTAGGGGAAAGAGTTGGAGGATAGGTATTGATTGTATTTCAGGCTCAAGCTCAGAGATTGGGAGGCTTTCATGTGCAGTGATTGGTTGGTTTTGTGCTCAGGGATTGGTTGGTTTTTCTGCTCATGTATTGGATGGCTTTGTGCTCAGTTGGTCAGAGGTAGAGTGTATTTCCTTGGATCTAGTTTCAGTACCAAATTGAATGTTTTTCACTGGCTCTGGTTTTAATTTCCAGGTGTGTTTCTTTGGCTGACCTTTTACCTGATACAGAGGACTTTATAAACTAATAAATTCATTTATTCCATGGTTTTACAGGTGCAAACATTGTGAAAATGGACAGCATGATACATGAAATGATTGCTGACACAGTCAAATTGTTCTTTACGGAAAGAACACCATTGTGTAACTGAATGCAAGTGTTTTGGATAAGGATCTTGCCAAATACTTTATAATAATAAGCCCTCAGTACATTTTGCAGGTACTCAAAGACTATTGTAATATGCAAAGACTTTAAGAGATTGACTGCTCAGAAAAAGGTTTATTCATGTATAAAGAGCAAAACTGTATGACACTTACTATATTTTTAGGGTTTCTCTGCAGTATGACTTTTTCTAATGATTTCAAAGACTACTGATACATACAAAAGCTTTATCACACAGATTACATTCATAGGGCTTCTCTCCAGTAGGTGGTGTTTCATGCATTTGAAGAGTACTGTGTGTGAAGAAAGTCCTCGCCACATTGACTAAATTCATGGTGTTTCTCTCTAGCATGTGATCTTTCATGCATTTGAAGATGACTGTGATGACGAAAATCTTTACCATGTTAATTATGATCATAGGCTTTTGCTTCAGCATGTCTTCTTGTATGTATTTGAAGAGTAGTGTGATGAGCATAGACTTTACCACATTGATTACATTCATAGGGTTTCTCTTCAGGATGTCTTCTTTTATGTATTTGAAGAGTACTGTGATGAGCATAGGCCTTAACACATTGTTTATATTCATAGTTTATCTCCAGTATGTCTTCTTTTATGCATTTGAAGAGTTTGGTGATGTGCAAAGGCTTTAACACACTGATTACATTCATAGGGTTTCTCTCCTGTATGTGTTCTTTTATGATTTTGAAGATTATCATGTCGTTCAAAGGCTTTACCACATTGATTACATTCATAGGGTTTCTCTCCAGTATGTGTTCTTTTATGCCTTTGAAGATTATTGTGATGTGCAAAGGCTTTAACACACTGATTACATTGAAATTGTTTCTTTCCCATAGGTGCACTTTCATGCCTTTGAAGATGACTCTCATATACAACGGTTTTACCACATTCAGTATATATGAAAGGTTTCTTCTCTCCAGTTTGACTTCTTTCATGCCTGCAAGCACATGTAAAATCTTTACCATAATCATTACACTGTTGACTCTTTATATCTATATGAATTACAATTAAATTTGGTCTAATTGTCAAGAGGAATCAGTTCTTAAGATTTCATCATTGTTTTTACACCCATGTTTTATTTAAGCAGTCCTAGTACTCATAGGGCTTCTTTGTAGTGTGATTTTGTTAATATATTAACAATGAAGATAGAAAATCAATTACTTGTATACTTTAATCAAATTCAACAAGTATACTCAATGTGGAGACTGCTACATATCTTCTGATTTTATACGAATGAGGTTTCTCATGTCTTCCTTATTCCTATGCTCACATGGCTTGTTTCCATAGGACATGTGATATAGTTAGTAAAGGAAGAATAGCAGATAATAGATTTCCCCATTGAATTCTGTTTGACTTTCTGTCCTCATAGACTTGTGAACTAGGGATTAAAGTTTCTCCTCAACAACATCCCTTGACTTTTGACTCTAACTGCCCCACTCACTAAACAGCACAGTCACAAGCATATGAGTCACACTAGCTTTACTATGGACTATTTGCTTAACAGAAAGTTTTGACAATATACTCATCACCACTTCACTGTCTGTAACTTTTGTAATATGAATGTTATGAAATAAAAAGACTGACAGTTCTACAGCATAGCTCTCATGGTGTTATGATTTTAATGGTAATATCTTTTGGGGAATTGTTTCTTTGACATTGTTCTTAAAAGAATGCCCTGCAAATTCAATTCACCAACCTGAAATTGAGATTGATGTTTTTGTGAGAATTTAATAATCATCAATGTACTTTTAGAGGTACTTATTTACACAGTTGCTTTTTTTTAAAATTTCCTGGACACAATATAATTTCTTCACAGGCATATTTTTATCAGCTTACACAAGAAAATTACCTTGCATGTCTTCTAGAATTTTGAAAATGTTCTTCAATATTATGATTTTCCCAACTGTATCCTAAAATAGAGTACCAGAAAATTTATATTATTGAAAACATTGTAAAATTTATGTTACTATCTTCAGTGAATCTTAGAAACATGCCTGATTTATTCACCTCACTCTTCTTTCTCAATCAAATTACACAGGAACATCCAAAACCAAGAAAGAGTTGTCTGCCTATTTTAAAATGTAAAGGAAAATACACTGTCTTACCTATAGTAGTGATGTTCCTGTAGGTCTCAATCATCACCTCTTTGTAGAATTCTTCTGGGAAGGATCCTGCAAAGTCCACTCTTCCCAAGTGAAGTTAACATACACATCATCATAGGTCATTGCATTCTAAAACAATCCATACATGTGAACAACAGAAAGCATGATACTGACAACATTGTAAATGTATAATTCTTTGACAGTATATTCATACAATTCTGGTGCTCACTATCTTACTCCATTACATAGTTGTTATAATGTAATCACCAAATCACTTTAAAAGAAAACTGAAGAGGGTGTTCACCTCTCTCAATTCTGTAACCTTTTAAAGGGGAATCACCTTGCAAGAAAAATGCCAATTAACAAACATACACAAACAAGTAAACAAAACAACAGTACAGAGTACACATGAAAGAAATTGTATGAACTAACTACAGAGAAGAAATAAGATAGACAAGTGTGTAATCAGGTCCAAGTCAGATAGAACCTAGATGAGCAATTGTCCTTGTGGTAAGATGGAAGAGTAACATTGAGTATATGCACAATAGAGGTATAACTGGACCTTGAGGTAAATTGACTCCCAATTATCTGAAGATATCATATTGATTTCCACAGTGCCTGTATAAATTTGAACCTGTGACAGCAATGAATTCCCTTGCTCCATATCCTTTCCAACATTAGCTGTCACTTGTGTTATTGATCTTAACCATTCTTACAAGTGTAAGACGACAGCTCAAAGTAGTTTCAATATGCATTTGCCTGATGACTTAGAATGTTGAACATTTTTTCAAGTGTTTCTCAGCCACTTTAGTTTCTTCTACTGAGAATTCTATTTAGAGGTATACCCCATTATAACTGCATTATTTGGTTTGTTGTTTAGTTTCTAAAGTTCTTTATTATCTTTTGTGAGAAAACCCAGAAGCACATAGACAAACATGTTGTACTCACTCATACATGAAAATTAGCTGTTAAGTAAAGTACACTCACAATAAACACAGTTAATCACAGTACAATCCACAGATGCATAGAGGCTAATTAAGAAGAGCAGCTCTAGGGTATATGAACGAGTAAGGAAAAGCAGCTAGAACAGATAACTGGGAAGATAATATTTATGATATTAGAAATGTATGTGCTTATAAATGATTTAGATTTTATAAAAACCACTGATAGAAGAAGCCCTGAATGTGTAAACAAAGGAATATATGTGGTATTGTTCACACATGGAAAGAGGATTTTAATATAGTATAATGCAATCTAAAAAAACTGTATCAGGTAACATATTGTCCTATTCCATTGGAAAGACAATTTCTCCCATGCCCAACATCCCTGAGTTTCTGCTAGATTGTTATGTAGGATTGCAGCCTCCTGGGTTTTTTATCATGCAAATTGGCACAGCAATTGTTGGATTATTTAGCTCCTGTTTGTGTATTCATATTGTTAAAACTTTATCAAATGGATAGAACATAAAACATAAATGGGATGTTTGTGAGTCTACAAATCAAGGGGAAATAACATAATCATATTATAATCCCAATGGCCAAACAAAAACAAACACTAGGAGAAATTCCAGTATTCTTCCAACTTCATGGGAAGAGAGAACAACCTGGATATGTTGGGTTCTCTGGAAAGGTAGAATGGTTTAGTTTAAAGAACCAAAGAACAGTTGGGGACACTGACTGTGGCTCTGTAGAATTTGTATCTCCATTTTCTATCAAGTATGAAGAAAGAAAGCCCAGGCAACTTCTCTTCTTACCTAAGCTCCATTTATAGACTCCTCGGGTGATAATTTTTGTTTTCCTGCTAAATAGAACAACTATTGTAACTGTAAGACTGTTTTTCTCTTTCTGTTTGGTCAAGAATTCAAGAGCCCTGCATGCTTTGGGAATGTACAGTGTCCAACAGATCCAGAGATCTTCAATCACCTGGAGAATTACCTCCATTACCTACAATCTCCCACATGAAACCAAGGAAAAAACTGAGAGTATTACTAAGATAATTCAGTTTCAGCATAGAATTTGCATAGAATTAACATAGGTTTACTCACTTGATTCTAAGACCAGAGTCACTCTTTTAGTGTCAATGGCACCTCCACAATTTACAGTAACTATAAATATTGAAAAATTAATGTAACCCCATTATTAGCAGTGAGAAGGTCCAGAAGCACCAGAGTATATAATATTATCAACACTTGGCCTAGAGCCAGAGACTGAGACTTCTCAATAAGTAACAATAATATCCTAGCTTGAACAGTGTGGCAGGAACCTCACCTGTCTTTAGACCCCAAGTTCAAAAGTGACACACAATGCCCTCAATTCTCATAGATGGTACTGTCCCCATTCATCTAGGGTTTTAGCGTACATCAGATAGGTTAAGTTGGGCACCTATCTCAGAGAAAATCAACTCCCACTTCAACCTCAATCTAGTATAAGAAATGGCTTAAAACCTTGCAGAAAGAAGGTAACAACAGAATAACTGTTACCCTGGAAGATAACGCTGAGGCTTTTATTTCTTATTCCATAGTTTACTTCTTAGTTAATGGGACATCCACCCAGAAAAGGCTCTGAACATCTTTTGCTCAGGCAGTATTCAGTGGGATTAGGTACCCTTTATTAAGTAATAGTGCCAGGTGCAAGGGTAATATCCAAGGCTCTTCCAAGGCCTGATTGGCATCACCTTCCACTTTGTGCACAATAAAGGTTATATGGTACACATATTTTGGATAATAAAGTGTCCTAAGAAAACACTGCATCTCAGCTGCTCCCTGCTTGTTGGTCCCATGACATGGGCAGAGAGAATCCCACTTGGGTTGCCAGGCAACAATATTGATCTCACAGTCTGTCACAATAGCCCCATGGCAAATCAACCCCACCCAATCATGACCTCACTTTATATCCTCATTTTTCTACTCCTGAAAACACAAGTCTCTCTGTGAGTTGTAAGTATTTTTCCTTATACCTTTAATATAGTAAACCAAGCATTATTGAAGGCATCATTTTTTATCCCAGTAGATTGTTGAACATTAAGACATGGTCAATATAATCTACTTCTCATATCAGGAGAATGTAAACAATCCCACTCTTGTGCCCATTATATACTCAGTCCCTTGTTACTTTACCCCTTTGAAATGTTAATATTTTCCACCTGAGGTTGTATGTCTATTATGAATAAATTAATTTTTTAAAAATCACTGAGAATTCCAATAATTTGTCATATGAGGTTACTGGTGATCAAAAGAGAAACTTTTGGGGTAAGTTTTACTATTACATCAGTCATTCAAATACTATCAATAGTTTGGGTAACTTATAATGTCATTGTGCCACAAATAAATTATGCAGTACTATCAAAAGGCTTTGTAGAATATGGACACAACTAGAATTTTACAAGCTTAGATAAGGCAGCTTAAATTATCTAACACCGTTCGGTTTTGCCTATCATAGCCTACACTCATGTCATTTTCTCTTTGGGTGAAATTGAGTAGTACTATCTTGAAATCTCTATTTATTAAAAAATTGTTGTATTGAATAATATAAAAGAAAACTTACATTCAGAATGTATTCATCTTTGGTGCATTTAAGGTAGCTAAAGACAAAGATTGCAATGAATCCTATAAATGTATCCTATAAAAACAGACAAAAATAATAAGTTAGATGAAAGCATTCCCAAAACCAAAGCAAGAAGAAGAGAACTGGGAAGATTGAGTATAAATGTATGTGAGAGAGTCCAAATACATCGTTAGACTAAAAATATTTAAGTAAAAACTATCTTTAAAAATTAAAACATATAGTAAAGGACATATAATAAAATGACAGTAATAATTTTACAACTTGAGATAATTCTGACTTTTAAGTGTCTCACATTCCAATTGGAAGAAATAGCCTGACAGAATAGACCACATAAATGAAAGTGAGCTGTTATTTGAGGTTATTGCTCTTTTGACGGCCATCCATCCAGCTCCCAAGTAAATCATACACAGAGGATTATTCATACTTATGACTGCACAGTCCTTAGTTTGGCTTAATTTCCAACCAGCTTTTCTTAAATTAACCCTTTTATCTTTTGCTTCTGGCTTTTCTTATTCTCTAAATTCTGTAAATCTTACTCTTACTCTGTGGCTTGCTGTGTAGCAGGGTGGCTGGCTCCTGGAGCCCTCCTCCTTCTCTGACTCATTGATTCTAGAGCTTTCCACACAGTGTTCTCCTTCTATATAAACTCTAAGCCTGCCAGCCCCACCTATCATTTCTCCTTTCTTTTTATTGGCCTGTTCTTTATTAAATCATCAGGTGTTTTACACAGGCACAGTATCATAGCTTCACAGAGTTAAAATATTCAACATAAACAAAAGCAGTACATCTTAAAGTAATATTCTACTCCATAGAGCTATTTGGTACCTGCAACCAATGAACTTCAGTGCCAAAGTAATAGGCAGAAAATCACATGTGGAAACAAACAAGTATAACTATACTGATAGTCCACAATGTACACTTTAAAGTTAAATTAGTGAATGAGAAAATGAAGATCACTACATATTGATAAAGTGAGAAATTCAACAAGAGTCCATAAACGTATGTTCTTGTGACACTGATGTTCCCAATTTTATAAAGCACACACTACTAAATATGAGCTAACAGATAGAACTCAATAATATTTTGGGTGAATTTAATACATGATTATATCAGTTATCAAAACAAAAGCAAACCTGTGAACAACCTATATACAAATAAATGGACTGATTTAACATTTACAGAACTTTCCATGGAATAGTAGCAGAAGAGCCTTTGTCCTCATGTCATTCCTGTCCACATTTGAGGTTCTGCCTTTAGGAGGAGTTCAGAGACATGATTTTGACATACCCTGAAGGCATACCCTGAACATGCAGCCTACCAGAAACACAAACCTTGTATAAAATGAATTAATGATGACAGAGTGGACCTAAGGTTGAAACCACAGGGTTTAAAAGAATGAATACCTATTCTTCATGATCTCTTCTGTGAAAAAGATCATGCGATCTCACTGCTAATTTCTTTCAATGGTCATTTGCTGTAGCTGACAGGTCAGTCTCTGCACATTCTGCTTCACCTGCATCTTGGTGAGAAAGGTTTGGTGGGATG